ACCTGGGTCTCAGGTGTTCCCAGCTTCCCAGCTACTTGACTTTAGGCGAGGTCCTCAGGCTCGCTCAATATCAATGGTCCATCAGCGTAGATCTTGGTCAGTGCTGGCTGTTGTAGGGACAGCAGAGTAGCGAAGAGGTCAGAAGGGCAGCCCCAGAGTCAGTCACCTGGATTCAGCCCTGGCTGTGGGACCTTGAGCAAGTGACTTAATCCCTTCTGAGCCTCAGTTTCCTCATCTGTGAAGTGGGAGTAATACCACCTGCTTCACATGGTACCATTTGAAGATCGTGAGTCAATCTGTATAAAGTCCTTAAAGCAGCACGTGGCACAGAGAATGTCCTTCATGCATGTTGGCTTTATTGCTGTTATCTTTAACCCATCCTAGAAGACAATGTAAGTAGAAGGTATAAACCATGGATGTGTCCCAGGGGAATGGCGCCCTAATGAGGGAGTTTGGGAGAGATCTCAGCCTCTGGAAGGGTTATTTAGAGCAGGCGTTTGAGCTTTTGTGTTTCTCGAATGGTGCAAGGTGCAAGGGAGAGAGCGTGCTGACTGGGAATGATGTCTTAGTGCCATGGGCACAGGTTTCCCAAGGTCAGATCATAACACTAGATAATTTGAGGTGATGTATGAATAAACACTTTAAACATTTTAATAGCTGTACTTTTATTTTAATGCGTAACAGGAAAAGAATTTCAATAGCATATCAGACCCAGTGTTCCATGGCTATTTCTGCTTTGGGTGAGGCTAACATCGGTATGTAAGCCAAAATAAAAGTGAATACAGTTAAGGAAAAATGCAGAGTAAGTGATAGTACAGGTGGTCTGGGGATAGACATGGCAAAAACGGTGCCAGTGTATATAGATCCTGGCAGTTGGGACACATGACAGTTGAAAAAGCAGCTCCCTCGCAAGGTTGCTGAGCCATCAGGCCCCCGCTGCCCCTTGCCTCTTCTCTTTCGTGCGACTGCAGTCACCTCAGATGGCTGTGGTTCCCTCCATCAGGCGCCAGGCAGGGGATAAAACGTGCCGAGTATTCGATGCTGGCATCTTCTCTGTCTGCAGTGGAGTGTAGACACTGTGGAATGGCCTTGAGCAGCTAACTGTGATAATGGTAACAGTCTTTAACCAACACTGAGTGAGTGCCAGCAACACGCTAAGCAGTTTGCGTGCACGATGGCATCGAACCCTTACTCTATGAGACGAACTGCTGGTTGGGACACGTTGGGCCTCAGGTAGCGAGATGCCTGGTGATTCTTGCATGAGTGATGGAGACAGTGAATTCTCTCGCTGCAAAGGATGGAGGAGACAAGCTCCGTGGCTGTTGTAGAGGCTCAGTGACACCTTCGAGAACTGGCTGCTTTCTCTCTATTTCATAGCCCCTGTGTACATCCATTTCATCCCGGTGTTGGTCGTTGTGTGGTCATAGGATAACTGCCCTTGTCTGATGATCGCATCCTTACACACAGCGTCCCAAGCAGGGAATAGTGGCAGGGGAAGAGGCTTTTTCTTCCTGTGTCTTTCTTTTCCAAAGGGAACATGCTCTCATAAACACTCCTACCCCCGGTAGACTTCTCTTTATCTCTGAATGGCCAGCCATAAAGGAGCCAGTGATTGCCTCTGGTTACAAGGGAGGCTGGGAAAGTGGATGTCTCCGTAGTGGGGGGCAGCAAGGGACAAGGGTCGGGAGTGACCATAAGCTACACAGCTAAGTGTCTGCTACAGATGAATACTATTACTAGCTCCCCTCCATAGATGAACAAAATCAAGGATCAGAGAGATGATCCTATAGATCATCCTATAGATGAAAAGATGGCTTGCCTGGGTCTTTATAGAGTTTGTAATGGCAGAGCAGGGATTTGAACCCACATCTTTCCTCCTGCAGAGCCTGTGGTCTTAACCCCCATCTAGTACTGTCTTCGTGGCAGGGGACACCCAGATGGCCATAATGCAAGGTGATGAGTGGTGAGTGGTGAGCACCAAGTGCCGTGGGAACACAGAGGACAGAGATTCTGCGCTGCAAGGTCAGGGGGAGTGAGCTGGAGAGGAGAGAAAAGAGTGTGTAGAAAATCATGCTCAGGGATTGCTCTGGCCTTTGAAAGATAAGTAGGACTCCTGCCAAGTGCAAGGGAAATGGCATGAGGAGGGTGGGCTCCAGAAGGAACCGAAGTGGGCATTGGGACAGTGCATGCTGGGTAGATTAATCAAGGCTCTTTGCATTGTCAGATGAATTTGTCTTGTGTCACTGGGAAGTCGAGAGGAGAGGAGCTTCAGACCTAGCCCAAGTAGGGGGCTCAGACATGTCATTGGGGCTCTGCTCCTATCCCTTGCTCCACTTGACTTTACTGTGCAAACAGGCTGGGTCAAGGTGCAAATCCTCCTGATCTATGAAGCCGGTGGAAAGGGGATTTCTTGTCTTCAGCATCTTTATACAAGCCCCAGGGAAGACTCTAGTTGGGTGTGTGCGTCCATTTGGGCTGCTATAACAAAAATTCCATAGATTGGGGAGCTTATAAACACAGAGATTTCTCTCTCACCATCCTGGAACCTTGGGGCATCTAGGATCAAGGTGTCGACAGATTTGTTGTCTGGTCAGGGCCAGCTTCCTGCTTCATAGATGACCATCTCTTTGCTGTGTCCTCACTCATGGCAGAAGGGGCAAGGGAGCTCTCTGGGACCTCCTTTAGAAACGGAATTGGCCAGATCACTTCCCAAAAGTCCCACCATCACACTGGAGATGAGGTTCCAGCATACAGGTTTGGTGGGGGACACAGATATTCAGTCTGTAGCCGTCGGTCATGTGCCCATCCCCGAAGGTGGTGTCTGAGAGTGGGATGAAGGATGAACACAGCCACAGCCTTGCCAGGACGGTGGAGCGGCATGGCAGCATGGTGGAGGGGCACCTCCTGACTGAGGAGGCAGAGCTGCTGGGCATGCCACATACGTCCACTAGTATCTGTGCTAGGTGCCTTCAAGCTTCCGTACTTTAGTTTCCTAATCTGAAAAATGAGACTAATGTTATCATTCCTACCTTGTGCACAGGGTCTGAGGCAGATTCCACTTAATAAGCATCTGCCAGTATGGATAGGGAGTACTCCATGGAACCCAGAGCAATGGCTTTCCTAAGTGGAAAGCCTAAATTGCTACTTCGCCAGGATCTCGTATTACACACTGAAACTTAGATGGCTTGGATTTGAATATTAGCTCTCGCATATCAGAGCTGTGTAAGCCTGAGTAAACAACCGTACTTCTCTGTGCCTCCATTTTCATATCAGAACCGGGGAGAAAAATGCTTAGGACACTGCCAGGCACATGGTAGAGGTCAGTAAATATTTTTTTGATGAGTGCACGAATGGAAAAGCTGAGTTGGAAGATACCTACAGGTTGTTAGACCTTTTTGGATTTGTATTACCAGGGGGCCCTCCAGAAAGCCATTACTCCATCGGTAGTAGATGAGATGACCCATTTCCCTACACCTTTGTCAGTACTTCTCTTTTAGGGTCTTGTTTCTCAGAAAAAAATTCATTGTTCTCTTAATCTGTAATGAAACCAGCCTGATGTTATGGACACATAATAAAACGTCCAAAGTTTTCAGAGCTGCAAACTGAAACATGTAAGGTAAAATGACGTGATGTCTGGGATTTACTTTACTTCGGCAAGAAGGAACGGGAGGAATAATAGATAAGGAATAAATGGATCTCGTGTGGCAGAATCTTGGTAATTATTGAATCTGGATTAGACTACATGGGAGTTCATTGTACCTTTGCATGCTTTTTAGAATGTTAACAGAACAAACCCAGCCCCACTCAACCCCCAGCATACACACACACACACACACACACACACACACACACACACAACCTAAAATTGAATAGTGGTGAACAGCTCCTACTGCACACAGGCAGTTCGAGGGCCCATTGGATAAACGACAGTCTTAGCCCTCGATATCTTCCCCTCATCCTCTGCCTGGAGCCCCTTTGTGGAGAGAGCCTTTGGGCTCAGCAGCTGAAAGCGTAGTCGCTTTCAAGCCCAACATAGCAATTTCTCCTGTGAACCAGGCATTCAGTGACCTTTTTCTGAAATGAGGGTTTTCTCTTCCCTCCTTGGAGGGGAGACAAACTCCCTGGTGATTAACCCCCGGGAAAACCCCCTTCAGACGTGGGTGTGGTTTTGCCATTCGGTGGAGGGAGTCATGAGCTGCTCTCATTCAGGGATCTGTGTGCTGGTGGCAAAAACATAACTGGCTGATGCTCCACAGTGACCAGACACTGAGTCCAGCCCCGCTAGTCCTCTGAACACACAAGAGAAGGCCTTGCCTGTCCCTGCCACACAGGCTTTGCTCCCAGCCCCTTCTCCAGATTCACTCTTAAATAGGTGGTGGGCTGGGAGTTTTCCAGCGAGGCTTGTTCCCATCCCTCTGCGGCACTGGGAGTTAGGGAGGGGCCTTCACATCCCATCTGGTGCTGGGTGGAGTCTCAGTCAGTGGAGGGTCAACAGCCCAGGGGCTGACCCTGGACCCTTGAGAAGGGTCATCATTTAAGAATGTCTCTTAGGCAGCCCCGCAGGAGACCCACATGTGGATGTGGTCAGCTGTAGCTTCCGGCTCTCTCACTTGTGCTGAATTTCGGCAATTTCTCATTTCCTTTAGGAAACAGAATGAGTCTGGAGAGAAGTATGAATAATCATGATGACACGCTTGGCAGTAGGAACATTGGGAACCTTGCCCTGAAGCTCAGGGTTGGTGTCACTGTTGCCGAGGTCTTGAGCAGTGTGGACCAGGGAAAAGGGGACGCCTTGAGCCTCATGGCCTGGGTTCAAGTTCCAACACCACCATTTAACAGCCAGATGACCTTGGGAAAGTCACTTAACCTTTTTTGCCTCAGTTTCCTCATCTGTAAAATGATGATGATATCTGCCTCATAGGATTGTAAGGATTAAATTAGAGAATATCTGTAAAATGTTTTAAATGGCCCCTTCTGTAGTAGTTGCTCAGTTAATGCTGACTGTGGCAGTTACTGTTATGGTCAGGCACAGTTAGGATTGAGAACTGCTGGTCTGTAGTAGGGGTCAGGTGGAAGCAGAAATTGGAGGAGAGGAACAGGGAAGGCTCCTTCCTCCCCACGTCTGTAGTTTGAGGAAATAGGCTTAATTTTGCCATTTGAAAATATTATTTTTCACTTGATGTTTAAAAGTCTCACAGAAAAGCACAGGTAGGAGACTTTAAGGGGGGGAAAAATCTGTCTTTCCATATCTCTCCTATACACACACTGTTCACACTAGAAAAAAAAGACTGGAAGGAAATAAACCAACATCTTTACAGTGGTTATCCCTTGGTGGGAAGATGATGGGTAACTTTATATTCTTCTTTGCACTTTCTTTATTTTCCAAGTTTTTTTCATATGCATATATAAGCATATATTGCTTTCATAAGCAGAAAAAAATATGTTAAAGGTAAGGAATCATATGAGCTGTGGTTTCTGGGAAGGTTGGGTAGAATTCTCCCGGGATGTAGCAGGCTGTTTAATGTTTGTGTCCCAAGAAGCATGTGTTCCAGAGTTCCTTGATGAGGGATACACTCCAGCTCTATAACATTTCTACTCAAAAAGTTCTTAGTGTCAGAGCCGATTCATTATATGTCCCTCTACCTGTCCAGCCCTACTTTAGATAGATAGTCACACTCTCTCCTATCCTTCTCTTGAGATGAAAGAACTCCAGTTCTTTTGTGGCTTTGACCTTGAGAAGGAGCCTCATTTTCAAAGTGGGCGTAACAGTAGTAAGTCCCTCATGGGGTGTCGTGCATCTCAGTTCATTGCCATGTGCATACAGGTGCTTACATGGTAGCTAAAGTTATGAATAACCAAATCGAGAACAAACCAGTTGACTTCTTTAATCAGGAAGCATGGATTAAAGACCTGTTCTGGGCCAGGTACCAGTGAACAAGGCAGACACAGCCCACCTCTCCACAGAGAGAGGGAGAAACACACAGCCACCCTGATGAGTCCTGTGTCCTAAATGTTCAGGATAGGATTTTTTTGAGCCAAAGAATAGGGGCTTCCCAGAGGCTCCCCAGAGAAGTGAAGTTTAAGTAACATATTCCAGGTGCAAATGGAAAAAATGAATTTGGTGGACATCTCTAGATAAGCTTCGCTTCTGAATGTTTCCAGCTGCGGGCAGGGAGCTCCAGATGGGCGTTGCTATGGAAGCATCTTCCAGTTCTCGCTTCCTGACAGAGTTTATTTCCGAGTTTCCCGTGCCCATGCCAGTTCCCAGCTGTAAATACAGACATGGTGGGGGTCCCTTCTTCCTGCAGTCTCAGAGCTGTGCAGAGAGCGGATGTGGCTGGAAGCCAGCCTGGGAGCCTCCTCCCGACAGTTAGTTGTGGAACCTGCCGTGTGGTGGCTTCTCTTCCATCCAGCCTCTTTTCTCTTTTCTTTGTCCTCTCGTGGGACTGTGCCAGCATGCCCCAGCCTGTGTTTTGAAACTTTAGACCCCAGCTTGTATTTGATGGAGAAATGAGCTCATGAGGGCTTCCTCCGCCACCCAGCTACCGGAGAAGTTGAGTCCAATCTCTTTTCATTCCGATCCCCCACTGAGGCTAGATTTGCGACCCTCCTGACAGAAACTGGGCTGGCTGTTCTTTGGGGACTGTTTATGAAGAAAGAGCTTGCTGACCTGAACAAAGAAACAGCAAACAAGATGGGGGAGGGGTGTAGCTAATTGAGACCTTTCAGTTACCCTTCAGTGCTTTAGAATAATAATTGCTAATGTGTGGAGAATTTACAATGCATGAGGTATTCTTTAAATCATTTCTAATCCTCTTAACAACCCAATGAAATGTTTATCATTACTATCCCCATTTAACAGCTGGGGAAACTGTGGCAGGGGCAAGTCATTGGCCAAATTGCTGTTACTGCTCTTAGAGCACCTTAAGGCCTGTCATCTTTGCGGCTCAGGCAAAAAAAGGAGGATTTAACCAGAGCGTGCTGGATGGTCCAGAAAAATGAAAGCGAAGCCTCAGGAGGGACTGTGTACTAGCCAGTTACTTGGTTGCAAGTAACAGAAACACCATAAACCCAAGGGAAAGGATTGGCTCGGGCAACTGGAAAGTCCAGAGGTGGGGTCACTTTCTGGGCTAGTTGGGCCGGGAGCTCAGGGGCCATCACAGTGACCCACTTTCTTTCTGTCCTTCCATTCTTCCCTCTGATAATTGGGTCATCCTCAAACTTGGCTGCCCTGGAGGTTGCAGAGTAGCTGTCCCACTGGTCCAGGTTTAAGACTATTCCTGGCTGGAGAGAGAGGGGAGGTATCTGCCTCCAGTCACAGTGCAAGACATCAGAGCTCCTCTCTGATTGGACTACCACAGGTCCCGTGACCTTCCCTAAACCAATCACTGGGCAGGGTGGAATCACCAACGGACTGGTTGCTCCCACCCAGAAACTCCTAGAGGAAGAACAGAATGGGTGCTGGGAAGTGGCCAGCCTGTGGATTGGAACCAGAACACGAATGTCACTATCAGGATTCTTTCCCCATGGCTTCCCTCTGCCTGTGTCTGCTGTATTCATTCTCTTATATTAGTGTGTCTGTCTGTCTGTCTCTCTCTCTGTCTGCCTTTCCTTCTAATGGCTGGGAAACCTGGTTATCCACAGACCAAGTTATACACCTTGCAGTACAGGCTCCTGCAGAGAATAACCCTGTATTCTCTCAGCCCAAGCCCAAAACAACCCAACGAAGAGAAAATATCTCCCTTTCGACTCATTAATCAGGACCAGGAAGGGCTTCTCAAGACAGGCCCCGCTGAGGTCAGGCACTCTCCTTGGGCCAATCAGCTGTAGGCAGGGAGGGGTCATTGTTCACTCTGTCCTCTTGTGGGTACCTACTGTGTCCCCTTCCCAGGTCCTCTGGGCTGGGAGTTATTAAGCAAGACCCTGAGGACAGTGATTAAGCTGTACCTTTTTACTATACGAATACTAAAACTTCATTTCACTCCTGGGCCACTAGAGGATGAGGGGTGTCCCATGCAGTGTCCATGTTTCCAAAGCAGTACCCTGTAGAAAGGCCAGCCCAGCATGCCATGACCCCTGCCTGCCTCCTGCCCCTAGCCTCGTCCTGCGGGTCCCTCTGCATCTGCCAGCCAGCCACCTGGCCTGCTTTCAGTTCCTTCAATGCATGGCATTTGTTCCCTGCCCCTGGGATGCTTCCTCTTCTCCCGGTCTTCCCCCGCCCCTTCCAGTTCTGGCCTGCCCATGCAGACTCTTCTTTCAGATCTCTCCTTAAACCTGACTCCCAGGGGCCTGCCCAGGCTGTGCTCCACCCTTCGTCCCTGAGCTGCTCAGCTAATGTATTCGGGCCTGTCATCCTCTCAATGATAGCAGCTCTGTGAAGGCAGGGACTACACCTGTTTTGTTAAATAAAGGTGTAACACCTTCCACCAGATACATATCTTGCTGAGGAAATGAACAAAATTATAATAGTAACGTAATAAAAGCAGTAGTGATGGCTAGCAGTGGCTACTTCGTAAAAGGTATACTGCTAAGCACTTTTACGTACAAAGCTTTTTTTTTTAAGTTTGAGAGAGAGAGACAGGGTGAGTGTTTGCATGTAAGTGGGGGAGGGGCAGAGAGAGAGGGAGACAGAAAATCCCAAGCAGGCTCCACTGCCAGTGCAGAGCCCAATGCAGGGCCTGAACCCACGAAATCATGAGATCGTGACCTGAGCCAAAATCAAGAGTCGAATGTTCGAGCGACTGAACCACTCAGGTGCCCCTACATACAAAGCTTTTAAATGATTGCTCCCACTTAACAAATATAATAATGGCAGTAGTTACTTATCAAGTAGTGAGTGCCAGCCATTATTCTAAGTCCCTTACCTGTGTCATCTCCTTGAATCCTAATGGCAGCCCTCTGAGGCCACGTTGCCCTCATCCCGACTTCACGGCTGAGGTGCGTAGTAAACATAGTTTACATAAGTTGTTGGGCTTTAGTCCTTTTTCCTTCTTCTTCTTCTTCTTTTATTTTAAGTATATGTGCTGCACAGTCCTTTTTCCTTCCTGGCGTGGGGAGGAAAAGCAGGAAGAGGGGGAGAGAGGTAGGAGGGCTTTGAGTACTGGCGTGAGAATACTTGCCGGGAGGTGACGTGTTTGCCACACGGCCCCTGGCAGCATCTGTAGAAGTAGGAAGTGCCTGTTAGACGCAGAAAGGTTATTTGACGTAAAAAGGTATTTGTGCGTAAGGCTTGTCTAGTGTTGGGCAGAGAGAGGATGGGACCATCACTTTGGAGGGGACTTTGGCAGGATCTGTCATTGTGACCCCCACGCGTGCCTTTCCTCTGTCCCAGCAGTTCCATTTCTAGGACTTGTGCCTATAGGTATTTCCAAGTGTGGGAAGTGATCTGTGTCCAAGGCAGCTCATTACAGCACCGATTGTCAGCAAAGATGGGAGCTGTCCCTCCATGTCCATCCGTAGGGGACTGGGTGAATTCAGTTGTCTGTACAGTGGAATGCAGAGGCAACCAAGGGGGAACCACAGTCCTGAGAGAGAGTACCTTCCCTGTCTGTGGTACACCATCAAGTATGAAAAAGGAAAGAAAAAGGAATGTCTTCTAATAGTGATTCTTACATCAGAATCTGAGGGAAGAGCATAGGTTTTATGAAGGTGCCAGTCCTGGTCAGCCCTCGAGCACTTTTAAAAAAAAAATGTTTAATGTTTATTTATTTTTGACAGAGAGAGAGAGAGACAGAGCGTGAGCAGGGGAGGGACAGAGAGAGGGAGACACAGAATCTGAAGCAGGCTCCAAGCTCGAGCTCTCAGCATAGAGCTCAACGTGGGACTCGAACTCGTGAACTGTGAGATCATGACCTGAGTCTAAGTCGCACGCTTAACCGACTGAGCCACGCAGGAGCCTCTCAAGCACTCTTAACTCTCAGACTAGATCCTTCAGGTTTCCACAGCGGGTGCTGTGTTCCTGGCTCTGTGTGTGTATATATTTTATATACAGACAGATGTATCCAAAATTGTAATATACGTATGCATGTGCTTATTTCATTACTTGATTCAGGTCTCTGCTTGAATGGCTGGGATACTGCCTCAGGCCTTCCCGAGCACCCTAAAATGGCCTAAAGTGACCCTCCTGTCATTTGCATCTCCTGTTTTATTTTTCTTTACAGCACTTACCATCTGATGTCATGTTTGCTTTTTGCGCCATTCTTAACATGTAAGCTCCTTGTTTTATTGCTATGTCTCAGCATCTAGAGCAGGGCCTGGCTCCTAGTATTTTTTAAGTGTGTGCGGAATGAATGTGAGCAAGCCTGAATAGTGACTGTTTTCCCCATGTTACGGATGTGGACCTGAAGCCCCCCACCAGAGGCCTTGCCGTCTTTTCATGGAACAAACCGAATACCCACTGCTATTCTGACTGGAGAAGAGGCAAGAAATTTGCCCTGGACTGCCATTTATGCTTCTCCATTGACTCACATTTCCTTGAGAGAGGTGGATACAGGCCAGGGTCTCTTCCACTGGGGCCTCTGCTTGTGAAGCACAGAGAAGCGTGCGTGGATAGCTTGGATGATGATGTTCTGGGCAGTTACCTCATGGAGAATAGGTAGAGGGAGAAAGAAACTTCCATTTGGAAGGCCTCCCTCCTCAGGAGGACCCTTCCCTTCAGCCCTCTGCTTAATATCATCAGAGTCCAGTTTGCCCAAGGGACACCCTCAGACTTGAGAAGCTGAGAATGTCGCTTATTATTTCTTCAGTATTCCAGTTACTATGACAGCTTTGCTAACATCTTTTAGGCCTCCCTCTGTGCCAGGCACTTTGCCAGTCACTTGATACCTGTTAGCTCATTTAATCTTCCCAACAGTCCTGTCGAGGGTAGAAATTACTCCTCCTCTCCCCTCCCCTCTGTACTGATAAGGAAGCCTGGGACTCAGAAAGGTCTAGTGAGGAGTCATGGGTCACACAGGTGCGAAGAGGCAGTGCTGGGACTTGATTGTGGCTGTGGCTGACTACGGAGCTGGTGCTCTCCTGGCCACGTGGCCTTACTGCTTCTTCATCTGCTTTTGGGAATTCTCCCAGTGACCAGAAGGGAAGGGTCTGGTTTCCTATAATGGGGTATGGATTGTTAATTGTGTTGCAGAGCCCTGCTGGCCAGCACGAGGCCTTGATGGGTTGCAGGAAGTGGGTGGAGAGCTTTTGCTTATTTCAGACAGACATTTGCCACACAAATGACCAAACTTCTCTTTCTCGTTGGGATTGGTTTCCATCTTGGGCAGCGGAGAGAGTTGGATAAGCGGCCAGAGGAACTCTGTCATCACCCAATCAGATCTGACCCTCGTCTGCTGATAACCCTCCCATGGCTCCATCTTGCCCAGAGTAAGAGACAAAGTCCTCACCGTGCCCAATGAGGCCCCACACAATCTGCCCCATTACCTGTGGGTCCATCTCCTCCTTCTGTTCTCCTCACTTGCCCTGTTCCAGGCACATGGGCCTCCTTTGTGCTCCACAGACACCCAGGTATGTGCCTACCTCAGGGCCCTTTTACTGGCTCTTCCTGCTACCAGGAAAGCTCTTCTCTCATACCCGCATCCTCCCTAACATCCTATAAGTCTTTGTTCATATGTTACCTCCTCAGGGAGGTTCTCATCTCTCTTTTCTATTTTTCTCTGTACCACTTAACTAACCTATCTCTTACTTATTCTATTGTTCATCTTCCCCACTAGGATCATTAACTCCAGTGTTCTGTTCACCTGGATTCCTAGTGCCTAGAGCAGTGCCTGGCACCAAATGGGCACTCAGTAAACATTTCTTGAAAGCATGAATGAGCTCCCAAGTACAGAATGGTCCAATCTTGAATTATTGTGCTGGGGGAGGAAATGGGTGTGGGGGTGGTCCTGTTTCCGTTCATCAAGCCTCAATGAGCTCCTCTCGTGCCAGGCTGCAGCTCTGGGCTCCAAACGCCAAGCTAAATACATCCTAGTTCTCCAAGCTCCATTTAAGCCATGGAGGGAGGGTGTATCTGCTGGGTAGAACTCATGGTCTGGCTGCAGGGGAGGCTGTGAGAGCCAGTTCCTGGCCTTTGTAATATCTGATAATGGGAGGTAGGCCCGGCCTCCCACCAAGACCCATAGGTGGGAAATTCCCAAATCATAAGGAATACTATGGGCAGCCAAAATGTTTTTAATTCTTTAAACATTTTATTAAGCTCTGTGTGTGTGTAGATGTATAAGCAAGGGCACATGCTGAAAGTGTGTAGCTAGATGAACTTTCACAAACTGAACACACTCATGTAACCTGCTCTAAGAACAGTATTTCTAGCCCCCAGAAGTCCCTTTCCTATTCTATCCCAGTTACTCCTCTCGTCTAGGCAAAACCACTCTCTTGATGTCTCACACCTGACTTTGAACTTTATGTAAATGCTCCTTTGTGTCTGGCCTTTCTAGTCAACATTATGTCTGTGAGAAGTCCATATCATTGCATGTAGTTAGATTTCATGCCTTCTCACTGTATACAGTCACAGGGAGGCCTTACTGGCAGGAAGAAACCAGCCTTGAGAATAGCTAGAGCAAAATGTGCAAAGGCCCTGGGGTAGGAATAAGCTTGTAAGGGAAAGAAGGCCAGTGTGGTGGGAGCATTGAGCAATGGGTGAAATGGAAGGAGATGAAGTTCGAGGGATTTTTTAAGCAAGAAAGCAATCTGATGTGATTCCTGTTTGATTTGATCACTCTGGCTGTGTGTGGAGAATAGAATCTAAGAAGGCAAGAGGGGACTCCAGGCCACCAGCAGGGATCTGATGGAGTTTCCAGGGGAAAGATGAGGGTGGTAGCTTGGCTTAGAAAAGAGGAGGGGGCGCCTGGGTGGCTGAGTCGGTTAAGCATCCGACTCTTGGTTTCAGTTTAGGTCATGATCTCACATTTGGGGAGTTCGAGCCCTATATCAGGCTTCAAGCTGACCGTGCGGAGCCTGCTGGGGATTCTCTCTTCCTCTCTCCCTGCGCCCCCCACCCCGCCCCCGCTGCCTCTGTCTCTCTCAAAATGAATAAATAAACTTGAAAAAATGATAAAGAAAAGAGGAGAAAAGAAATGGATTTAGGATATATTTTTGGAAACAGTGGCAATAGAACCATTCAGTGAACTTGCCATGGAGGCCATGGAGGATGAGGGAAGGGAAGACATAAAGGATTCTGTTGCGTGTCCGCATCAAAATTTGTTGGCTCATCCCTGCTAACAGACATTCAGGTTGTCTCCCATTTTCCTCACTTACAGAGGCCGCTCCAGCCAACACCCACATGTACACATCCTTGCCGAGCGGGGTCTCAAAGGATCAAGGGCAAGGTCATCCAGACAGAGGGGACTGCTCGAGCAAAGGCTGGGGCTTCCCCTACACCAGTCCCAGCTCAGACCGGAGCGTAGGCTGCAGAACGGTAGCAGAGGACCTGAATCAAATGGACTTGCTGCCTGTGTTGAGATGTTCTCCCATGCTCTCCCTAACCACCCCCCCCTTCCCCAGAGCTGCTTTCTCATCTGTTCCCCTCCCCTCTGCAGGTTAGTCCAGAACTTCGGCCAGCAATGCAGTAGCAGGTGTTTATATTGGAGTTGCTGCCATACGAGGGGCCCTTGCTCTCTGTGAGAGGTCAGCTTTGTTTTCCTGTCTCGTGAGTCACAGTGGGGCTTAAAGCATTGGCTGGCGAGGCCTTTGGTTTGGGGCCAGCTGTAGAGGATGCCTGGCCTGCAGGAAATGAATGAGAAGGCCTCCTGTTTGTATGAGCTTGATTCTTTTGTGTCTTCTGTCCCCGTTCCCTCCTGTTTCTTGTGTCTGGCCTTGTTCTTGAGAGTGTTGGGTCCCTCGGGCAGCAGCCGCTGCAGGCCTCTCTTCCCTTTTCTGAGAGACTTTGGGCATTTGGGAGACTCTAGGCCACTCGGCTGGAGAGGGAGCTCAGCCAGCGTGAGTTTAAAACAGTGTGACCTGCAAGCATCGGAGGAGAGAGAGCCCCCTGCCCTTGTCTCTCTCTGCCATCCGTGCCCTCAGGTCCCTGAAGATCTGGCTGCCACCATGGCTTGGGCTTCTTTTTTGTGCTGTGGGGAAGGGCTGGCCAGACTGACGTGTCAAAATTAGCATCTCTGGGAGTCTGCTTCCTACCTGCCCAAGGGCTGTAGAATAGGAGGAATTATGGATCACAAGAAGGTAACATCTGACACGTTTCAACTCATACTAGGTCAAAACAAGAAGGGGGCAGGAGGGACAGCCTTGAAGGAGAAAAATATAGGGCATTAGTGAGCTCAGCTAAGGACTCTCCCAGGTTGCTAGAGGACGTGTGAATCATTGCAACCTCTTTAGAAGGCAGCCTGAAAAATAATTTTTTTTTTCGAATGAGCAGAATATACACGTGATAAAACATTCAGATGGCACCCAGAAAGTAAGTCTCCCCCTGCCCATCCACTGTAACCTAGTTCCCCTCCCGCGAGGACACCCATTTCAGGTGTGTTCTTCCAGAGACTCCATACAAAACCAAGCAGATGCTACATATACAGCTCTACATCCTGATCTTGGAACCCCTTCCATAATATAACTATATAATACCCATAAGTAGTCTTCAGTATAGCAGTCCTGCTCCTGAGAATCTACCCTATAGAAAAAAATGGCCCCAGTGCCAAAGGATGTTTATTACAGTATGGTTTTCAGGGGCAAACCAACCAACCCCCAGAAATAAAATAAATGCCCATTTTTCAGGGAATGATTGAGTAAAATATGGCACATCCATACTGTGGAATATTAGCTGCCAAAAAAAAAAAAAAAAAAAAAACCAAACAGTGGGTAAGACCCACTATTAGTTGATTTGGAGGCATTTTTGTGAGAATATTTAAGGGAAAGCAAGATTCAGAGAAGTAAATATGATATCCCATTTATGGAAATTACAATGACGAGTGTATGTATCTGTGTTGTATTTGAGTGATGGTATCACACTCCTTTTCTCTTCCACGTCACATGGCCTTCTTAGCCCAGCGTTCTGTCTGGAAGATGTTGCAGTATCCTTAATTGTGGTCCGGACAAACTTCATACATTGGTCAATGTTAGAGATCCCTTGGGAGGGTGTTCCAGCCACAGGTGGAGAGTCCATGGTGTTGGTGAACCTTCACTTGGACCTCAGACTAGGAGAGGCTAACATGGGTGCTGCGTGAAAAGTCCCTTCTACCTGACCATGACAGGCACTTTGACCTGCTTCCCTTTCTCTGTAGAATGAATAAAGCAGTGTTTGGTCAGCTGTTTGAAGGATTCATTGCTACCAGATCTGCTGCTTGTAAGAATGACACAGGGGAGGGGCATCTGGGTGGCTCAGTCAGTTAAGCATCCGACTTTGGCTCAGGTCATGATCTCACGGTTTGTGAGTTTGAGCCCCACATCAGGCTCTGTGCTGATAGCTTGGAGCCTGGAGCCTGCCTCAGATTCTGTGTCTCCCCCTTCTCTCTGCCCCTCCCCTACTCATGCTCTGTCTCAAAAATAAATAAATGTTGAAAGAAAGAAAGAGGAAGGAAGGGAGGGAGGGAGGGAGGAAGGAAGGAAGGAAGGAAGGAAGGAAGGAAGGAAGGAAGGAAGGAAGGAAGGAAG